CCTTTCTGCTTAGCCACTTAGGGAGTGCCCTGGGCCACCATGGGGTGGGCACACTTACCCACTCTGTCCACCAGATGGCATGATAAGTTTTCATAGATTTTTCCTTTTCCATCTCCATGATAAACCTATACTGTGTTGGATCCCGTGATGAGATTTCATGTAATCTTGATACCTTAACTACATTCTTGGCAATTTTTTTCCCCTCCAGAAACAGAGAAGAGTCTCACTTGCTTGCTTTTGCCAACCCCCTTCCTCTGGCCACACCCTAATTTGCCAACATCTTTCTTTTCTTTTTTTTTTAAGACTCTTTTTTAAAAGATTTTATTTATTTATTAGAGAGAGAGAGCTCGAGCATGACAGAGAGAGAAAGGGAGACAGCAGGAACAGGGGCAGGGGGAGAGGGAGAAACAGACTCCCCGTGGAGCAGGGAGCCCAATGCGGGGCTCGATCCCAGGACTCTGGGATCATGACCTGAGCCGAAGGCAGACGCTTAACTGACTGAGCCACCCAGGTGCCCCTAAGTTGTTTTTTTTTTTTTGACACAGAGCAGGAACACAAGCAGGCGGAGTGAGAGAGGAAGAAGCAGGCTTCCTGCTGAGCAGGGAGCCCGATGTGGGGCTCGATCCCAGGACCCTGCAACCATGACCCGAGCCAAAGGCAGATGCCCAACAACTGAGCCACCCAGGCGCCCCAAGATTTTATTTTTAAGTGATCTCAACACCCAACACAGGGCTCGAACTCACAACCGAAAGTCACACGCTCCATCAACTGAGCCTGTCAGGTGCCCTGCCAACATCTTTCTGAAAGCAAAAGATCCAGATTTGGAGTTCCACTCATCCACGCATCCGCCACTCAATCGTCCATCCCTCCAATCATCCATGTTTTTTCCATTTTTTTTTCTTTGCCAGCTGTATGCTAGGTCCCAGGCCCTTTATTGAAAAGGCAATGTGGCTCCTGCCCCTGAGAGCAGGCAGAGGAAGCACAGACGTTAATGGTATAGCACCCCGCCCCCCAGCCAAAAAATACCCTGTTACAAACTAAGTACCACTAGGGACAGACAATGCAGGGACCAATTACAGCTCCAAAGTCTCGTCTTAAGGGGATCAAAGTAGGATTCCTGGGGAGAGCAACCTTGACGTGAAATCTTTGGGGAAAGAGAGAAGTAATGGGGAAAAGCAGGTAGAGGACATTCTAGACCAGAGCCTCCAAGACCATGAGTGCACACGACCCCAGGGATCGGGTTGAAGTGCAGGTTCTGGTGGCACGGGAGTGGGGTTGGGGCCTCAGAGTCTGTCTTCCCAGCAAGCTCAACCTCCCGGGAGAGGCTTCCAAGGAGGCAGTATATTTGAAGGCTCCAAGGAAGACCTGGTGGAAAACAATTGTCCTAGGAACAGCAAGGCTGTGATAAAGGGCAAAGCCACAGAGTGCCCATGGCCAATTCTCCATCCATCTCTCTCCCTCACCCCCACTCCTCTCTGCCTCTCTCCCTGTCTCCCAGTCCCCCCTCCTTTGCTCCCATTTCCTCCTCTAGTTAAAATTGTGGGAACAGGTGGACTGACAGGGCTTGGCTCCAACCAGTTACATTCTTGTTTATTATCAGTGTCCTCCTTCTAGAAGGTAGGCATCACCACAGGGATTCTTGCTTAAGGTGTTCACTGCTGGGTCCCCACATCTAGACCAGCTCTGTCCAACACAAATAAAATACAAGCCACCGGTGTCATTTTAAACTTTTTTTTTTAACTTTTTTTAAACTTTATTTAACTTTTAAAAAATTTTTATTATTTTTTTTAATTTTCTAGTACTAGCCACGCCGAAGAGTGAAAACAGGCAAAATTCATTTTAATGATATATTTTACTTCACCCTAAATATCCTAAATGTTATCATTACAATGTGAAAGCAATAATGTAAAAATTAACAAGCTATTTTGCATTCTTTTATTTTCATACCATGTCTTCAGAATCTGGTGTGAAGTTGACACTTAAAGCACGCATTCCATTTGGAAGCTACCTTGTCATCAGAAGTACTTGACCTGTACTCAGATTTCACAACATTTACAGTTGAGAAAGTAGATTCATGGACCCAAGTTGTCCCAGACATGCTTAGACATTTTCCAGTAACCGAACTGAGTATCAGTTTTATTGCTTAAATTTAAATTCATTACAATGAAATAAAATTCATTCAGACAACAGCAGAACACACATTCTCCTCAAGTGTGCATGGAACAGCCTCTAGGACCAGACCATATGCTAGGCCATGAAACAAGTCTTGATAAATGTACCCAGATATTGATGGTATAAAATATGTTCTCTGGCCATACTGGAATGAAATTAGAGATCAGGGATGCCTGGGTGGCTCAGTTGGTTAAGCATCTGCCTTTGGCTCAGGTCATGATCCCAGGGGCCTGGGATCAAGTCCTATTTCAGGCTCCCTGCAGGGAGCCTGCTTCTCCCTCTGCCTGCCACTCCCCCTGCTTGTGCTCTCTCTCTCTCTCTCTGACAAATAAATAAATAAATAAAACCCTTAAAAAAAAAAAAAAAAAGGAAATTAGAAAAAAGAAAAAAACAAAAACAGAAGGAATATGGGAGAATTTCACAGATATGTAGAAATTACCACACTCCTAAATAACCAGGGGGCTGAAGAAGAAATTGCAGGTGAAATTAGAAAATCAAATACAATTAGAAACTCAGCTGTTTGGTCACACTCACTGGCCACGTGTCGAGTGCTCTGTGGTTCCACGTGCTGTTGTAGCTCTAGACACGCGTGGCACTTAGGAGACAGATGCTCCATAACGACTGAAGAACACACAAACAGAGAAACCCCCTGGGCACATGTCACCCCAGCACCCACCTCTCTGCAGTCGTGCTGGGCCCAAGCTGGGTCCCGCCTTCAATGAAAGCCCAGGCTGGGGCCTTCGGGGAGGATTTCCCAGTATCTCTCCGCCTTTCCAGGAAGTTTGAGAACATCTACATTGGCTGGGGCCACAAGTACAGTCCCGAGAACTTCAACCCCCCCCTGCCAGCCCCCATTCAGCACGAGTACCCCAGCAGCCCAGAAGTCATGGAAATGACTGACCCCACGGTGGAGGAGGAGCAGGCCCTCAAGGCAGCCCAGGAGCAGGCCCTGGCAGCCTCGGAGGAAGAGGAGGAAGATGAGGAGGAAGATGAGGATGAGGACCTGGAGGACTGAAGGGGGCCCCCCTAGCCCCCTCCCCCAAGCAGGTAGATAGCAGCTTTTCCCTTATGCATAGTGAGTGATGGGTTGTTTTGTTCACAGCTGGTTTGCCTGGAGGGCAGGGGTAGAAGAGGAAGGTAACTGCTCTAAATAAAATTTCCCCATGGCATCATGGCCTAGCTCCTCATTCGATTGTTGACACGGCCTCCAAGTCAGGGCTGTTGGGCTCTGCTGGGAACAGACATTGGCCGGCATAGTCTCTCCTATCCTGTCATTTATTCCTTCAGCAAACAACTATTGAAGTGCCTTCTGTCAGCCCAGCTCTGCTTTCCTGGGGCTCACACTCTACAGGAGAGACAGACAGTGACAACCCAGATGGGGGAGTCCGGAGGACGGATAGAGCTCCTGAACTGACTCTTAAAGGGTCAAGAACAGAGTGGGGAGGAGCATTTCAAGCAGAGGAGTGCAAAGACCCAAGGGCAAGAGAGCATTGTGATGAGGTAGTTTCCTGAATCCCCATGTTAGGGACATGGTGTGAGGAGTGAGTGGTGAGAGATGAGGCTGGAAAGAGAGACTGGCAGGAGCAGAGCACTCAGGGCTTTACTTTGCCATGAGAGCAGTAGGGTCCAGGGGAGCAGAGACAAAGCTGATGCTGAGAGGGCCCGAGCAAGAGAGGAGGACTTTGGACCAGCGCTATGCAGAGAGAGGGACTGGAAAAGAGAACTTCACGTGACAGAACGCAAAAAACGTGTGAACTGGAAGCAGGGGGTGAAGGGAGACCATGCAGATCTAGGGAGACCCTGAGGTCTGCAGCCTGGGTGACTGGGGGGATGGCAGTGCGAGCTCTAAGATGGGGACACAGGAGAGGAGCAGGATTTGGAGGAAGATGTCAGTTTCATTGCAGGATTTGTCGAGTGTAAGATGCCTCTGGGACATTCCGGTGAGAAATCTGAGAGACCACTGAGAATGGGTCTAAGAAGGTCTGTGATGGGGGCAGGGTGGCTTCAGCGGAAGTGAGGGGCACTGGCTATCAGCGGGGGCTCATGGGATCAGGTGCTTTTGGATTACTAGTGGATCACTGGGACACTGAGGGGCATTGTGGGGATCAATGAAATTTTGGAATCAGAGGAAGGTGTCGGAGGACCAAGTGAGGTTGTTGAAGATAGTGAAGTCATGGAGATACATATTGGAGGTTGGTGGGAAATATGGAAATGTTTAGGGTTAACGTTAATCGGTAGTGGGTCGGATGAAGTCCTTGGAATTCTATGGAGACGCTGGAGATCAGCGGGATCTGCGGGATCATCAAGGGTTGGGGAGGAGGGTCTGGAGATGCTGTCGCCAGTCAGGGATTTTAAGACGTCAGTGGGAAACACTGGAGGTCCGGAAGGTGTATGTTGGAAGTCTAAGGCGACACTAGAACCACTGGGGTCATCTGTGACGTGATGGGAAGGCCAGGTTATGAACCAGGCCTTCTCTTGAGGGTCCCTCCGTTGCTAGGCAAACGGTTCCCAGGGCGCCGTTGCTAGGGATTTGTGCTTTTCCATGACCCCGCCCATCTCCCCCTGGGCCGCGCCCCGCAGCCAACCACACGTCGGTCGCGGGCACAAAGGCCACGCCCACCTTCCGCCCCGCCCCCAGCCCCAGAGCCGTTACCCGAGCGACGGCCGGAGCTCATCCCGCCTCCCGATCCTGTTGCCAATCGAAGAGGCGTCGCCCGGGTGACCACCCCACCCCTTCCGGCGCGGGCCCGAGGCTTCCGGCAGGGGGCCCGGTGGCGGGCGGCGGTCCGGCAGCGGCGGGGCCCGGGCTGGGCGGGCGGGCGCCCAAGATGGCGGCGGGCGGCGCGGAGGGCGGCTCGGGCCCCGGCGCCGCCATGGGGGACTGCGCGGAAATCAAGTCGCAGTTCCGCACCCGCGAGGGCTTCTACAAGCTGCTTCCTGGCGATGGCGCCGCTCGCAGGTCGGGGCCGGCTTCCGCCCAGACCCCGGCGCCGCCCCAGCCGCCGCAGCCCCCGCCCGGCCCTGCCTCCTCCTCCGGCCCCGGCGCCGCGGGCTCCGCTCCGTCCCCGCCGCCCGCAGGCCCGGGTCCAGGGCCCGCGCTGCCCGCCGTGCGCCTCAGCCTCGTGCGCCTCGGGGAGCCCGACGGCGCCGGGGCCGGGGAACCGCCCGCCACGCCCGCGGGGCTGGGTGCCGGAGGAGACCGCGTCTGCTTCAACTTGGGCCGCGAGCTCTATTTCTACCCGGGCTGCTGCCGCCGCGGAAGCCAACGGGTGAGCGGCCTGCATCGTGGTGGCCTCGGTGCTGGCAGAGAGGATAGGGCCCCCTGAGGTGATCCAGAAGTGATAGAAGGGTCCCCGAATGGATGTGGGCTTCTGAGATAGGCATCCTCGATGTGACGGCCATCCCAGGGGGAAGGGTACCCAGAGGTAATGCAGAATTCTAAAAGGCGGTGGGAGCCGGGGAGGCCCTCCGGGGTGCTGGCCATCCTAGAGGTGATGGAGAATCTTGAGGTCATGCGGGATCCCCAAGTTATGCGTGGGGGTTCTGGAGTGGTATTTTGGAGAGATTCTGAGATGCTATGGGACCCTCCGTGGTTCTGGGTGATAGGGAATCTGCCCGTGATGGAGAATCCTGAGGTGATGCAGGCTTGAAAGTGATGGAGAACCCAGGGGTGTTGCAAGTCCGGAGGTGTTGCGGGGGTTTGGGGGGCTCTTGAGACTTTGGGAGCCCAGAGGTGAGGATGATTGCGGAATTGATGAGGCACTTAGAGGTGATAGAGGTCCTGCAGGTATATGAAGTCTTAAGGAACGCTGGGGTTCTGGATCTCATGAGGGTCTTGGAGGGAATCTCTGAGCTGATGGGGAGCTGGAGGTGATAAGAGCCCAAAGGGGACATCCTCAGGTGTGATGGGTATTTCTAGAGCGATGTAGGTCCCAGAGGGGATGAGACCCTTGGAGGTTATGGTGGTCCCCAAAAGTGATGGAGATCCTGAGAGCCCAGAGGTGGTGAAGGACCAAAAATGTGGGGGACCGTGAGGTTTAATGTGTCCATGAACTGTGATGGGGGTCCTGAGATTTAGGGACCCCAAAGTAAAGAGAATCCTGGGATGTTGGGTGTTAGAGTCCTGGGGATTTGGGTGACTCTGCGTTTTGGGGAGCTTGGAATAGTGAGGTGCCAAGATCCAGGGGGAGTTGTTGAGTCTGTGGGCCAGGACTGGAAAGGAGTTGGAGCTCAGGGACTGTGGGGACCCCAAGCCTTGATACTGTGGGCAAGGGTGTCCCTAAAGTTAGAGTTTTCAACTTTGGGGGGAGGCAGCATGGTCTCCTGTGGGGTGGAGGGGGCGCTTTTCCTTTACTGGGTCTGTGATTTGGGTCCCCCTTCCTGTCTGTGGTTGCCCACTCACCCATCCACCTACCCACTTCCCTGAGGGATTTAACCCTGCTTCCTTTTAGTGGTTTCCCCCAACCTCAACACCCTCTTCCTTCCTCTCAGTGGTAGAAGCTTTTAACTCCTTTTCTCCCACTGCTCAAGTCCATTGACCTCAACAAGCCAATTGACAAGCGGATCTATAAGGGCACCCAGCCCACCTGCCATGACTTCAACCAGTTCACTGCTGCCACAGAGACCATCTCCCTGCTGGTGGGATTCTCAGCTGGCCAGGTGCAGTACCTGGATCTCATCAAGAAGGACACCAGCAAGCTGTTCAATGAAGAGGTGATTATGGGCCCCCAGGGCCTAGAACGGCTCCCCCTTCCCGTTCACCACCCACACAGCGTTGCCATGAGACTGCAGCTGCCTGGGGACCAGTGGAGGCCTGAGAGGGGCAGGATACAGGAGAGACAGGGGATGGGCTGACAGATATATGGCATGGGTCACGGACAGCGGCTAGTGGGATATCAGCTGGTGATGACAGCTGCACCTGCTGTGCTCGGGGCCTCTGGGCTGTTAGCCCTGTGCTGAACACTTTAGTCCTTGAGTTTTCCTCCATGGGTTAGGGATTGTGGTGTCCGTGAGACAACCGAGGCTAGTCTCTAGTTGGGACTTGTTTGAAGCCAGAGCCCTTGATCTTCAAATTCTGGGCCCGTGAGCATTGGATTCAAGTCGTTGCTGCACCGCTGACTCACTATATGGTTTTGGGGAGGTGACTGTCCTTCCTCAGCCTCAGTTTTACTTCTCTGCAAAATGGGATTCTCATCCCTGCCTCATGGGACCATTATTACGAAATCGTATGTGGAGATGGCTCAGTCCTGGCTAGACTTGGTACCAAAGGAACATGCCAAGGAACGACCTCATCCATGGGTGGGGGCTGCTCTTGTCCTCTGGCTTTTTCTCCCTGTTCAGAGGAGGTGTTCCAAATATACAGAATGCATGAATGGCAGGAGGGAGTGAGGGTAACAACAGTGAATGGATTAAAAATGCACCAGCTCATCCATTCACAAAATACTTATTGAGCATTTGGTCTGTGCCAGGCGTTGTTCTAAGCACCAGGGATCTCACATATTAGTGAGCAAAACAGAGGGCCCTGCCTTTGTGGAGCCTTCATCTAGCTTGGGGAGCAGACAGTTATCAAATAAGTTAAGGATGCTGTATGGCAGAAGGTGGTGAGCGCCACAGAGAAGAATCCAGCAGGGAAGGGGGATGGGGGATGTGGAGTGCGTGGTGAGGCTTAAATAGGCTGGGTCAGGAAAAGCCTCACTGAGGGGGGTGACATTGAAATAAAGACCTGAAGGAGGCAAGAAGGTTACCAGGGGAGGAGGACATTCTGAGGAAAGGGAACAACGACGCGACAAAAGCCTGGAAGCAGGACAGCAGAAGGGTTGTGTGGCCAGAACAGCTCCTGAGGGGAGGGTGGGAGATGGGTCCTGAGAAACAACTGGGAGACGCCGGCCCCTGGAGGGTCTGGAGGGTCATGGTAAAGACTTTGGCTTTCAGAGCCTTTCTCGACCAGGGTTTGTCTCAGCCAGAGAACACAGAGATGATGGGATTCTTTTTTAACTTCTCCCAAGAACGAGAAGCAACTTAGATGCCTGGGGAAGTTGATTCATTGTGTACGACGGGTGCCAGGGGGCTTCAGGGCTCAGTTCTCTCTGGAGCCCTGCTTGAGAAAGGCTGCCGTGGGGTTCATCGGGGAGACGAGTGTAGGTTCGGGGTATCAGCGAAGGGTTGGACATGAGCTGTGAGGGGGGAAAGCAGAGGCGCATGCGCAGCTGGCGGGACGGGGCGGTCCCTCGTGGGCCCGGGCGCCTCCTGTGTGCACAGGTGTGTGCTCTGGGGCTAGACCGGTGAACCACACAAATAAGGATCCCTTCCCCGGGGGAGCTGATGTTCTGTGACTAGACCTCTTGCCTGAAGCCCGACGCGGTAAAGACAGAGGAGAGGGTTAGACCGATGAGGAAGTGTTCTCTGAAAGGCAGGACTTTTCCCTTTGCCAAAGACGGGGACACCAAGGCTCCGTGGAGCTCCCTGTGGCTGCCTCACAGGCCGCCCTTCTTCCTTTGCGTTCCTACGGTCCGGGGTCCAGCCCTTACCCTCAGTGGGGTGGGGGTGGGGGCTCTCCGAGGAGGTCTGAGGGCCGTTTCGGGAAACCCGGGCTGGGGGGAGGTCGGCCAGGAGCCGACCGCCTTCCCCAACCCCCGCCGTCTCTCCCGGCAGCGGCTGATCGACAAGACCAAGGTGACCTATCTGAAGTGGCTGCCTGAGTCCGAGAGCCTGTTCCTGGCCTCGCACGCCAGCGGCCACCTGTACCTGTACAACGTCAGCCACCCGTGCGCCTCGGCCCCGCCCCAGTACAGCCTGCTGAAGCAGGGCGAGGGCTTCGCCGTCTACGCGGCCAAGAGCAAGGCGCCCCGCAACCCGCTGGCCAAGTGGGCGGTGGGCGAGGGGCCCCTCAACGAGTTTGCCTTCTCGCCCGACGGCCGGCACCTGGCCTGCGTCAGCCAGGACGGCTGCCTGCGCGTCTTCCACTTCGACTCCATGCTCCTGCGGGGGCTCATGAAGAGCTACTTTGGGGGCCTGCTGTGTGTGTGCTGGAGCCCTGACGGGCGCTATGTCGTGACGGGGGGCGAAGATGACCTGGTCACCGTGTGGTCCTTCACCGAGGGCCGTGTGGTGGCCCGAGGCCACGGCCACAAGTCCTGGGTCAACGCTGTAGCCTTTGACCCCTACACCACGAGGGCCGAGGAGGCGGCAGCGGCCAGTGGTGACGCGGAGCGGAGCGGCGAGGAGGAGGAGGAGGAGGAGGAGGAAGAGGAGGAGGAGCCCGACGCGGGGGGCACAGGCTCGGGCGGGGGAGCCCCCCTCTCCCCGCTGCCCAAAGCCGGCCCCATCACCTACCGCTTCGGCTCGGCGGGCCAGGACACACAGTTCTGCCTGTGGGACCTCACCGAAGACGTGCTTTACCCCCACCCGCCCCTGGCCCGCACCCGCACCCTCCCCGGCACGCCTGGCACCACGCCGCCCGCCGCCAGCAGCTCTCGCGGGGGCGAACCCGGCCCCGGCCCCCTGCCCCGCTCACTGTCCCGCTCCAACAGCCTTCCGCACCCGGCGGGCAGTGGCAAGGCGGGCGGCGCGGGCGCCACGACTGAGCCGGGCACGCCGTTCAGCATCGGCCGCTTTGCCACGCTCACGCTGCAGGAGCGGCGGGACCGGGGGTCAGAGAAGGAGCACAAGCGCTACCACAGCCTCGGCAACATCAGCCGGGGCGGTGGCGGCGGCGGCGGCGGCGGCGGGGGCGGGGGCGGCGGCGGGGACAAGCCCAGCGGCCCCGCCCCCCGCAGCCGGCTGGACCCAGCCAAGGTGCTGGGCACCGCGCTGTGCCCGCGCATCCACGAGGTGCCCCTGCTCGAGCCCCTGGTGTGCAAGAAGATCGCCCAGGAGCGGCTCACGGTCCTCCTCTTCCTGGAGGACTGTATCATCACCGCCTGCCAGGAGGGCCTCATCTGTACCTGGGCCCGGCCGGGCAAGGCGGTGAGTGGCCCCATCCCGGCCGACCCAGGGCCCAGGAGGAGGCGGGCGTGGGCAGGAGGGTTTGTTGCAGTCATAGCCTTCAGCCCTGTGGGATGAGGGGAAGCCAGGGAAATCTTAGCGTCCCAGAGCAAGACCTCTCAGATCTTAGAGTACCAGGCTTCTAGAACTCTCCGTGGCAGCAGAGAGAGGGTTGGGTAGAAGAGACAGCCAGGAGTGGTGAGGACCATGGCCAGCTATCTGAAGGGCGACCAGTGGGCCCAGCACAGCTGGGCCTTATCACTTGTCACTCGAAGCCAAGTCTGTGTTTCTATGGGACACACGATTTGTGAATTGTGAACCGTTTGAACAATGTGGGTCAAATTCTGCGGGCAACACTGAGCCTGTGGGCCCGCCTTCCGGCCTGAATCTCAGACTCTGGAGCCCCAGCTCATGGAATCCCAGCTTGGGTTCCGGGGCTGCTCCCTGTGCGATCTTGGGCAAGTCACCACTCCTTGCTGACCTCCGTCACCTTTTAGGGAGCCTTGAAGGTGGGTGGTAGATGGATGTGTCCACCTCCTGGGGTAGCACTGGGGTTTCAGGAAGACTCCAGTAGGGGGGGAGCACAGGCCTGGCGCCTTCTGTCTTTGGAGCTCTTGTCTCAGAGGGCTCAGCTCCACAGGGTTTGGGCTTTTGTGCCCGGGGTGCTAGGCCTGAGGCCTGTGGCTTGGTTCCCTCAAAGAGTGGTTTTAGAATTGTAGGGTCTTGAATCCTTAGAACTCTATGACACAGTCTCAGACGCAGGGTCTTTGGGATCTGGGGAGTCTGCCGAGTCCTGAAAGAGACCCCTCTATCTCCCTAGTTCACAGACGAGGAGGCCGAGGCCCAGACAGGGGAAGGAAGTTGGCCCAGGTCACCCAGCAAGTCAGTGGTAGAGGTAGGCTTGTCCCTGAGCTCTCCCCTGCCACCCGCCCAGTCAGGGCCCCGAGTTCCCCCCCATCCTCTCCACCCCTACCCCCATCCTCTGCTCAGGACCACCCAAGCGCTTTAATTATTGTCCAAGAGTGCCGCCTGCGGGGCCAGGGAAGCTAGCGGAGCTGGGAGTTCCCGACCTAGAGCAGCGGCCTCTCTCTGGGGGGCTCTGGGGTGGACTGAACGGCAAGGCCAGGGTGGCAGCCGCCTTCGGGACTCCGGGCTGGCTCCCTCCCCACGGGACTGGTGGGAGCCCCAGGTGGTCTCTAACCCTCCTGTCTCCCCTCTCATCTTCCCCAGGGCATCTCCTCCCAGCCAGGCAACTCCCCGAGCGGCACAGTGGTGTGAAGCCATGGATGTTGGGGTTCCCCCCACAATGTTCCCCGCCTCCTAGCCATAACCCTCCCGCTGACCTCACGGATCAACGTATTAACAAGACTAACCATGATGGATGGACTGCTCCAGTCCCTTGCCCTGCACAAATTTGGGGGTCAGGGTCCCCCAGACCGGCCCAGACACTTGGGGGGATGTAGTGGCCCGTGTGGCCTCAGCCTTGTCCCCACCCACTGCCAAGTACAATGACCCCTTCCTCTGAAACATCAGTGTTCACCTCATCCCTGTCCCCAGCATGTGACTGGTCACTCCTGGGGGAGAGACTCCCCGCCCACAAACTCTGCAGTGTGCCCCTCCTCCTGTGGGCAGGGCTGGGGTGGCCCACCCCTCCCCTGGCCCCCACCCTGCCCTTGCTGTTGTTTGTGCTTTTGAAGAGTGTTAAATTATGGAAGCCCCTCGGGGCCCTCCCTGTCCCCCAGGACCTCTTATTTATACTAAAGTTCCCTGTTTTCACAGCGTCTCTGGTCCCTTCTGGGAGGTGTGGAGGGAGGGAGTAGTGTGCGTGCACTTGAGCAGCAGTCCTAGAACCCAGCTACTAACACCAAAGGAAGAGAGGCCCTGCCTGTGCCCCGACCTGGTGCCCTCCCTGCTCCGGCCTCATAGCCAGAAGAGCTGAAGGCCGGAGGACGGACTCACTCAGGGCACATAGCTGGTGGGTCGCTCACCTGCCAGCCCTCCAGCCCTGAGCCCCCAGAACCCCCAACTCTGGAGGAAAGAGTGCCGCCGGGGCCTCCTTCCCAGTTTGAAAGTGCCCGAACTGTCCAGGTCAGATACGGGGGGCGGGGGGGGGCTGCCCAGATGGGTCCCTCAGGTAGCTCCTGAGGTGCCCAGAACGCGCCCCAAGCCTTGGCCTCCCGCTGCCTCAGGCCTCCAGGCTCAGGGCACAGGCGTCCAGAGCCAGCTGGAGACCATGGTTTCCTCCCGGAGCGCTGTCCACCCCTGCCGAGAATAACGAAAATCCCTCCTGGCTGGCTCTCCGGAGCTGCAGGGAGGGGTGTCTTCCCGCTCTGCCCTCCACCCCCCGAAATGTTTCTGTTTCTAATCCTAGCCTGGGCAGGAATGTGGCTGTGCGGCCAGGGTCCAAGGAGCTATTTTGGGGGCTCCTTTGCCTCCCCCAGGCTTTGGCCAGTGGGTCACCCCTGGTCCTGGCTCCTGAGGGCCTCCCGTCCCCATTCTCTCACCACCCCTTCCCCACCTCCTGCCAAAAAAAAAGTCAGTGTAAAGCAGAGGGCCTGAGGGCTAAATTTAAACCATCCCAAAGTCTGAATCTGTGGCTGAGTCACCCACGAAGCTTCCCTGGCCTCCTGCCCCCCCTTCCCAGGCCTCACCCCTTTCTCCCCCACCCCAATTCCAGGGCTTGAGAAGGGTGTTACCCGATCGTTCTGAACCTTAATTGGCCCCCTCAGAATGGGAGGGCTCATCTTTGGCATCTGCCACACCTGTAGCTACTTCTGTGCTCCGCCTTTTTTGGGGGGCAGGCATCGTGGGAGAGTTGAGGTTCTCCAACCCCCCATCTCACACTGACGTGTTCTGAGGGGCCCTGGCAGGAGGGAGTTGGGGGGCCTGGCTCGTGAGGGGTTAAGGCTGGGAGGCGGGAGGGGGCCGTCCCGAGGGGTGGGGAGAAGGGGAGGAGGCCTCAGCAGCAGAGAGAAGTGGCCAGAGAGGCCCAGGGGACAGCCAGGGACAGGCAGACATGCAGCCAGAGCCCCAAGGCCTGGACAGGGGCTGCCAGGCCCCGTGACCGGAGGACCCCGAGCCCCTGGCCCGGGGAGGGGGCCATGGTGCTGCCTGCCCGACATGTCAGCCGAGGTGCGGCTGAGGCGGCTCCAGCAGCTGGTGCTGGACCCTGGCTTCCTGGGGCTGGAGCCCCTGCTCGACCTTCTCCTGGGCGTCCACCAGGAGTTGGGTGCCTCCGACCTGGCCCAGGACAAGTATGTGGCCGACTTCTTGCAGTGGGGTGAGTGCCTGCCGTCGTGGGTGGCACAGATTGGGGGGCGGTAGGGGCAGGGCAGAGGCAGGATATGGGGCTGGGCACCAGGGCTGATAGTTGGGGTCAAGATGGACGTGGGAGAGCCTCGGACTCAGGAGCCCAGAACTTGGTCCTGGGTCCTAGGATGGCATGTCCCTACCCCTGTGCCACCCTGGCAGGGCAGGCTGGGGTCAGCAGGGGCTAGGGCAGCCATGACTCCGAACTGTGACCTGGGAGCCATGGTAGGCTGGACTGGGCACGGCCTCCCGTGGTCCTTCTGTACCCCCTCCCCAAGGTCTAGGCCTAGGGACACGCTGGGAGCCCCGGATCCTGGGACCCCCCTCCACCACCACCAAGATGGGCCCCGTGGCTCTCCACCCTGGCCTCCCAGAGCACGGGGGCAGGCGGAAGGGACAGCATGGGGCAGCTGCCAGGGGTGCGGCCAGTGGGCAGGTGTTCAGCGCCAGCGTCTCCCGCTGCCCCAACAGGTGCCCAGGCACTGGGAGGGTGCGGCCACTCAGGCCCTGGGGGAGAACCGGCTCCGCAGACAGGCGCCACCCAGCACCCCCATCCCCTGGATGGAGGAGGGACAATTTCAGGTTCTGGGTGTGCCCACTTTCTAGGGCCTGGCCACCCCCCTCTCCACCAGCCCTGGTCTGTCTAGTTTGCATGGGGCAGCTCCCCAGGTCCCTGGTTCTCATGACTTCTGACCTTCCGGCTCTCCCACAAAGTCCCTTCTGGCCAGGTCTTTCCCTGGACACAGGTCTGAAGGGAAGATGCTTCCACCTTCTGGCCTTGTCTGCCTCTTCCCCTCCTCCACCCCAGGACTCAGGCTCACTTGGTTTTCCGTCTCTCTGACACCCTGCCACTCTGTCCTTGCACTGGTTTGTCCCTCAGTGGCTTGCACTCGGTCCTTGGGCTCTGTATGTCTCTGTCTCTCTGCCTCCCGCTCTCCCTCGTTTCTTGTGTTCATCTCTTTTTGACCCAGGCCGCGCTCCTGTCCCTCCCATTTCGCAGATAGGAAGGTGGACACCAAAGGCCGGGCCACTCAGCCCCTGGAAGAACTTTCTCCCCGCCTCCCCCAGCCCTTAGTAACTCTCTCAGCCCGATTTTGCGGAGCGTGAAGTTGAGCTAGCAGGGTAAACTGAGCCCGGAGCTGGGGGCAGGGGTCTGGGCTCTTCAGTAAGGAGCACTCCTTTTGTGGCCCGAGCAGCATCCTGCGGCCCCTCCCCTGCTAGGCTGCCCGGGGCGGGGGAGGGGGCCCGGGTTCCTGCTGCCTTAAAAGGGCTCAACATCTTGGCTCTCTCCTCCCTCCCCCGTCCCGGGCCCTGGCTGGTTCTTCCCTGCCGGCCCGCTCTCCCGAACCTCCAAACTCACGGGGCCTGCCTCCCCCTGCCACAGCCCACTCTGTCTCCCCTTACTTTCACTTGAACCGGTCCCTCTCTCTGTCCTGCCCCCCAAGCCCCCGGGGTCCTCCCTCTTCCTGGGCCCCTGCATCCCCTCCACCTGGGCCTTCCCCTGCCTACCTGCCCTCTTTAACATTCCTAGCTGTAGGACTTCGGGCCAACCCCTTCACCCTTCTGAGCCACGTAAAGGCCTCCCCTAAATGAGGGGCCTCCAGTAAATGCGGGGCCTCCCGTAAATGAGGGGTGACGAAAGAAGCCCTCTTCCTGGAGTTGAGGACAGAGCGAATACACTAGAGCTTGGAATTTGGGTCCATGCTGGCTTTGTCTTCCTCTCCTGTTCCCTCTCGGGGCCCCATCCCCAAATCCAGTGTTTCCCAAAGTGTCCAAAACCACCAGCCTCTAAACCTGGAGGTGCTGGACTAAACTGAATGTTCCAGGACAGGACCTGAGACAGACTGAGAACCCGAGTGTGGGCCTGGCAGGCACTCCCACTCCCAGCCAGAGTAGGGGTGGGGACTGAAGCTCAGGGGGCCCTAAGGACTGGGAACTCACATCTTCTGTTCTTCAGAAGAGAGCCCGCCCTCTCCACCTGCACCCACTAGAGCCCCTCTGGCCCAATGCTCTTCCCAAAAAGGGGTTCCTCAGGCATCCCACCTTTTTTTCTGTAGGAGGGCAGTTTGGGGTCCCCAAAACTTCACACAGTGTTTTTGCGGGGAAGCCTTTGGGAGGCTGACAGTCCTAGGAGAGAGACAGAGAGAGGAGAGAACAAGGGACAGAGGAGACCGAGGAGGGACAGAGAGGGGGAGACTGAGGGGCAGAGGGTGGGACTTCCTCCCGTCTCCAGTGTCAATCCCAGTTACCCTCGGTTCTCACCTCCCCCCGCCCCCCAGTGGAACCCATCGCGGCGAGGCTTAAGGAGGCCCGACTGCAGAGGGATGACTTCGAGATTCTGAAGGTGATCGGACGCGGGGCGTTCAGTGAGGTGAGCCTTGAGCGGCGGCTACAAGCTCCGCGGAGCAGGGGACGCGACTTTTCGTGCAGTGGGCGGGACCCAGGGGTTTGGGGCGGGACCTTAGAAATTGATGAATGACTTGAGTTGAGCAAGCCTACACCAGCCGGGCGGGGGCGGGGCCTGAGGTCGCTGGGCGTGGCGTTAATCGTGGGGCGGAGCCACGAGTAGGTTGTGTTACGGGTGGACTCCAGTCTCGGCGAGCCCGCGTGTTTCCCCCGCCACCTCTGCCCCCAGTCACCCTGTTTCGGCCTTCAGGTGGCGGTGGTGAAGATGAAGCAGACGGGCCAGGTGTATGCCATGAAGATCATGAATAAATGGGACATGCTGAAGAGAGGCGAGGTGAGGGCGGGGGCCGGAGGTGCAGGGCGCTAGGATTACCCACCCCCGCTCCGGCTCCCGGCCGCTTCAGTGCCTCCGGGTGCCCCGCAGGTGTCGTGCTTCCGCGAAGAGAGGGATGTGTTGGTGAACGGGGACCGGCGCTGGATCACGGAGCTGCACTTCGCCTTCCAGGATGAGAACTACTTGGTGAGCCCCAGACCCGGGGGTACTAGGGAGACGGACCCCGATCCCGAGGCTGTCAGTGAACGAGGCGGGGTCAGGGAGAAATTCTAGGCTGTCTCGAAATGGCAGCGGTGTCTCTGGGTGTGGGAGGAATTGGTCTTCCTTTCCCGGGATGGGAGATGTCCCTTACCGCTCTTTTCCCGGGCTGATTCCAGAGGACCCTGTAAAGATGCCACCGTCGGAAGGGGGGGGGTGCGGATCTCTTACCTGGACTGGGATAGCTCTCTACAATCTATGTGGGGGGTCCCTGGGCAGGGTATTTAGGCTCTGTACTTTGGGCACTGGGAGCTCTCTGGGCTCTCTTTCCCACTCTCTCTGTCTGTCCAGTGACATCCTGGGAGAATTAGGTTTTGGCGGGGGGAGTGTCTCTGATTTGGCCTGGGAGATCTCTTGGGCTCTCTTGGGGCTGGGGCTACGGGGTCTCTGCCCAGGGATGGGGCATCTGTGGGAGTCTTTGTCCCGGGCTATCATCCGTCAGCGCCGAGGGGTGCGACTGACCTCCCCC